GCTACTGTGTGTCCCTGTGTAAGGAGACTGAATCAGGGATGGGCTCTGGCTCTGGGATGTCTGGCACAACCTCTGTTTGTTTTCTACCTAGGACACCTTCAGTGATCTCATGTTGTTGTTCTATGACAAGCGTGGTGGGGAAGTGGTTGCAGTTTTGTGGAAACCTTTGAGCTTTCAGCCTCAGCCTTTTAAGGTGAGTTCTTGACTCTGCTTTAAGCTTTATGTTACCTTTATGCCCTGAAAGCTTGGAGGGCTTTTTTTCTTCATTGTAATTGCTTTGTCTAACACTGATAGGCCCCAAAGCCCTTTGAGAAATGGAGCTCATACTTCTGTCCCTTCTTAGAAAGTGTGAAACCAAGACAGGGCTGTGGCCACAGTGGCCCTAGTCATCAGCAGAGCTGAGAAGGGAACATGTGTCCCTGGACAAGCCCCAGCACCATGGCTGTGGGTCAGAACAGAGCTCTGTGTCCCAGGTGCTCTTCTCTGGTCCCCTCCTGGGAGGTGGGTGATACCTCATTTGCCAAATATTTGGTGTGTGCAGCAGGCTGTCCTATTCTCATGGCTTTGGGCATCTTACCCAGAAATACCCAAGCCACAAGAAGCTGGGGTGGCAAGCCTAGGTTCATAGTGCCCAAGTCCTATTGATGTACAGAGATATTTTCCAGCTACATTGTGTGGGTTGGCAAACTCTAGAGGGTGGTTTAGCTAGGTGTGAGGCACGCTGGAGTGATTCATGCTGCTTTCTATGAAGGAAGGACGCAAAGAAACCAGTGACTAATGGCTCAGAGTTGGCAGCCCAGGCTCTTCTGCTGTCAGTCTCTGGGTGATTTATCTCCCCTCTCTTCATGGCCAGCGGGCATTGGCTATTCAGCCTAGCTGCAGTTGTGAAATCCAGTTATTCACAGTGGTGAAATGAGAGGAGGAGATGCTTGCATCTGAGCTGACTGTGGCTTGATTAAACATGAGGATTTTTTTTACCGGTAGAGCCAAGGATCTTTTCGCACTCAAGGTCTTGACAATCAACAGCAGAGCAGAGCCCAGGCAGCTCTTACTCAGGGTCATGGTGTGGTCCCTTTTGCATACCCTGTCTGCTCTGCTTACACAAGCTCCACCATGCACCTGCACACTCTTTTCCCATCTCCACCATGCCCCTGGCCATTACTTCTCTTCCTTCCGTGCGGCTGTTGGACTGTGGCTCCAGGGTAAACCCTAAAAGGGGCTGGAAGGGCCACTCTTGCAGTTTATTAGCTCTAGTAATGAGCAATGATGGTGTAGAGATATGAAGCTTAAAAAATTGGGTGTAGTGGTGTGGCAGGGGTTGGATGTGACAAGGCGGGAGACCAGTTCTCCTATTTGGGGCTTGCAGAGGTTGTGAAGCAGCTCTGAGCGGGTGCTTCCATTTGTGCAATGTTTGTGTGTCCTGCAGGTCTCCAGCATGAAAGGAAGGATGGTGACAACTCTGAACAATGAGCTAGTCTGCGTTCCCAATGTGGAGGCAATTCTGGAGGACTTCGAGGTTTTGGGAGAAGGCCTGGTCAAAAGCGTGGAAGCTCGTACAGAGAAATGGACTATCTGAGGCCACTGAGAGGTGTCAGAGGGACCTGTCCTGAAGCAGAGTTGGTTCACTCTAGGACTGTTACTTTTTATAAATCAGTCCTAGGAAAGGCTTTCAGCTTTTTAAATCCCAGAACTGTGTGTTTTACTCTATTTATCTTTATATGCCTTGTTCAGAAAAGTGATGGGACCTGTTATTGTTTTCAAGAATACAAATGCCTTTTTATTTTGAAGAAAATATAAAGATGGGATAAAGTTTTTGAAAGTGTTCCTGTTCATTGTAGGAAACAAAGCTGTGTTCTTATGAAAATGTCAAAATTCTGAGAATTCTGGCTGAGGTGTGCATTGGCAAGGCAGTTTCTTAGTTCAGTAGAGTTCATAGCAGCTGCTGGTATTCTAGTGGTTAGCAAAACCAAAGAAACACTGAGCTATTCAGAAATGACCAGGCTATTCCCCTCTACTCAGCCCTGGTGAGACACATCTGGCATGCTGTGTCCAGTGCTGGCCTCCCCAGTAAGAGACATGGACACACTAGAGCGGGTCCAGTGAAGGGCAAGGAAGATAGTAAAAGGGTTGAAGCCTTTGTCATATGAGGAGAGGCTGCAGGAGTTGAGGTTGTTCAGCCTGGAGAAGAGAAGGCTCAGGGGGATCTTACCAATGTGTATAAGTACCTGATTGGGGAGTAAAGAAGATGGAGCCAGTCTCTTCTCAGTGATGCCCAATGATGGGATGAGAGACGTAAGTTGAAATGCAGGGAATTCTACTTAAAACACTTTTTTTACCATGAAGGTGGTTGAACACTGGCACAGGTTGCCCAGGGAGGAGGTGGAGTTTCCATCCTTGGAGACACTCAAGACCCAACTGGAGATGGTCCTGGGCAGCATGTTCTAGGTGACCCTACTCTGATCAGGGGTGTTGGATTATTTCTCTCGTGTGAAATGATCATGGGGTCTCCTGATGGGGAAAGAGAGGGAAATGAGAGGGAGCGAATCCACTAGTCCCATCCCCTCTTCTGATGGAGGCAGCATGCATGTTCCAACACCAAAGTGTGGGTAAATCACATACAGAGTAAATAAAACAGACTTGATCACAGCAGATATTGCAGAAACAAAAAATAGATCAAGCTTGGAAAGGCAAGTGGATGTTCAGGCAGTTGATAACTGTAGGCAGTTGTCGCTTGGTAAGGCGCATTTTGGATGGGATGTTAAATCCGTTGCTTCAAGACCTACTGGCCTCCCCAGCTGTTGAAAGTGGGTCCGAGGCTTTGTGGAGGAGATTCACAACTTATTTTTCAAATGTTTTCTCTGAAGCATTTGAAAGCAGGCTGTGGCAGAGCTGTGGCACTGGGCTGATGCTGTCTACCTGGTGCCCATTGATCCATTGTGTGCTACGGGATAAATGCATGGGTGTAGCATCCCTAGTTTGGGGATATATGTGCTATATTAAAATCACAAGAAACATTTTTCTCTCTTCCTTGTGCTGGTGGCTGAGGGAGAGGCTGTAGGTGGAATCCTTTCCCCATCTACTGCTTGCAAGAGCTTTTTAAGTACACCTAAACTGAAAACATTCAGAGCACTTAGTGGGCAAAACAGATATCAAACCTGAGAACAAAGCAGCACTTTCTGTTGCTACCATGACCCCTGCAGTGTGAGAAGCTGTTGACAGCTCCATTAGCAAATGAGATGCAGGCAGTGATTTCAACAGGTTTCAGAAGCAGTTAAGGATTAATTTTTAAGCTTCTCTTTGTTCTGTTGTATCATCCTCTAGATGTTGGAATCACCCAGTCTGCCTTCAACAATGGCTGTAATTTTCCTCAGTAGTCAGACTGTTCCTGCCTTTTGTGCCTATCTGCCTTCGCTCCGAATGTCCAGTTTGACATGGGGATCCTGTAAATTTGCCAACACAACTGTTGGACGGACAACGCCTGAGTTGCTGTGCCCATTGCTTGTGCCAGAGCTCTGCCTGTTCCCTCCGTGCCCCATCCTGCCCTCACTTTTCCCCTCGCTATATGTTGCGGATGTAAATGGTTTTGGGCTGGGGCATTCTCCTTGCTGTGTATATCCATGCTTTTCTGTAGGGCGGAGTCATGTGCCGAAGCCCCCGTTAGCTCGCAGGGGAGCAGAGCTCCTCGCAGGGGTACCCCCCTGCCGCACTTCTGTTTTCATCTGCTGCTGTTACACTGTCAGGTATCGTATTGCTGCTCCTTTTCCTTTTTGTCTTTAAAAAGACATAAAACTATGCGAAGTTTCAATCTACTATGTGTTGGATCTCCTCTCTGCTCCTTTATCCTTGGGTAAAACTGCCATTTGCAGCTTGCAGCAAAGCGTCAGGCAGTGTCCAGGCTAGCCATCTCCAAAAATAACGATGCCAAATTAACTGATGATAAATGAACTCACTCATAACTAAACCCTTGTACAAGTACCAACCTGCTAGTGTTTCACAAGGTAATGCCACTGTGCTCAGCAGCCAGATGTGAGCCTAGGGCAGGCCTGCGCTGCAGATGTTTGCTGGTGTAAAGGTCCATTTTGGTGACAGATAATGGTATTTCAGAAAAGGCATTGAAATAAATGCACTTAACACTGGCAAAACTGCCCACTGCTAACCCAGGTTACATCACCCGGAGGGGATACATCTCTGTCAGCAAAAGTTACCCAAGTAACATGTCACCCCAGCTGTGCTCGCAATGCTCCTCATGTTGCCAGAGCCTTGGTTGATGCACGGGCTCCTGCCTCCTCTGTCAGAGGAAAAGTAACTCCTCAATGCCCCAAATCCCCCAGTATCCAAATATTGAAAGGTATCTTTGAGCCATTCTGGAGCCTTTGTATGGTCAAATATTGCAAATGGTCTGGGTCATGTTTTATCAATCATCTGGTAAAATAAGACCCCTGTGGCCAATGTGGGTGGACAAAACCACCTTGAAATTTAGCTGGAAAAGCCTGGGGATGCTTTTAGGCACTGGGTGTTGGTGCCATCTAACTTCTTGAGCAACAGTTGGTATGTAAAGCAAAATGCAAAGCACTTCTCAGCCTCAGGAGCAGAGGGTCCCTGTGCCTCTAATGTGTCTGGAAAGGCAGGAGCCAAAGGGAAGGGGTATCTCAGGTACGTAAGAGAGGCCAGGTGAGGTCTCCACTGCAAACTTTTATCTCCTCTTGCCCGATTTACTGCTCTTGTTGGTGTACCGTGACTAATTTCTGTTATGAAAGCTGGGGTAGGGCCTGGTTTATTCAGAGCAGGCTTGTTTGACAGCCTGTGCTGGGTTTCCACTTCCAGAGCAGTGAGTGGGCACTTGCTTGCTTGCAGGTGTTTGCTTAGCTGTGGGCCT